ATTAAAAACTTAGATCCTTTTCAATTACCAAGATTTCAAAATCAGCAAAATAGAAGAAATGGTTTCAATGTAAAAGAAAAAGATTTTGGTAGCAGTTTGTTAAAATCATTCAAATTATCAACATTTTGATTTGTATGCTGTTTTCAAACAAGAAATAGAAAACATTTTGCATTTCTGTTTAGGCACTTATTTTGTGAGTCAATCCATCCATCTATCCATCCTTAGGCAAAATGCCCATTGGTATCAACAGCATTCTGGATAATAACTCTCTAATGATATCATCCATAGTTGCTGGAATCTATTGTCTTTTTATTTTACACACATTGTATAAGCACTCTATGTCTAATCATTTTTGTACAACTTCAGTTTTGAATTCAGAGTTGTCCTTCTCCTAGGCTGGTTGCAAACCACAGCTAGAAAGTTTGTCCTGCTATTTAACCTATAGCTGGGGAAAGAAAAGCTGGATTCATACCTTTTCTAAGGATATTTGTGCAAAAATAAATGTAACAAACATGTCTGGAATTTGAACTTAGCTCAGCAATTCTTCCTCCAGGCCTGTCATCATTACATTATATATATTTTTTATATCTTCTAAAACTGCCATTCTGCCAAGACATAAAGGATAATGTGTGAACAAACCATTCTTCATCTTTTGAGACAATCTCCAAACCTTTACTTTGTGAGTAAATGATATAAATTTATTTAAAGTATTATTATTCTATCACTATTTCCATGGCAAATGTTCTGACACACTCCATTCTCTAGTTCCACTTCCACCTTGCCACTTCCACAGAGTTGAATCTTTTTCATTTCTCCCATATTCCAAATATAAGGAGAAGGTTTCACTCATGTTTATTGCAAGAACTTCCACTTTGTAGAACAGACTAGCATGTGGTTTCTTCCTTGAAAATTTCAGGTCAAGAGTTCATCAAACATTCACCCTTACCCTCATAATGTCCAGTTCTTACCACTTTCTTTTCCATTCATATCACATAGCTCCTTCAGTATTACCATTTTGTTGACTGTATTGAGTGGCCTTTAAGCCTTGATTTGGGTGAATGTTAATATAAAAAAATGCAATTATTCTTTTTCCAACATCATCTGTAACAGAATATAAAGTCTTTACAAAAATGCCCATGGACATTTCAAAGTGGGAATGTACTAAAATACCATGGGTGATGCAAATTGCCTGTAACAAGATCTGTGTTCATTAAAATCTGTGTGTCAAGACAGACTGAAGTTTCCCTAGGGGCTCTTTCAAACTCCTCACTATAATAGATTGATTACCAGATTAGACAACACTCTGCTAACAGGTGGGATCCATGACCTTATGAATTCTTATCTTCATTAAAATTGCACTTTCTGATCAAAAGACCTGGAAACATGTCTGATTATGTGATACACCATTCATCTTTTACTGTCCAGTGTTAATGATATCTGACTCAGATCTGCCATAGCCTCTTGTGTCAATAAAGATAATTTTCTTTGATGATGAATACAAAACCTGATGAAATGCAATGTATATTGTACAGTACATTAGATCATAGGTTGAATAATACCAGTTAAATTGGACTTCCCTGCACATGGTATCATTTTTGTATCACATGTGGGCACCCATAATTTACCTGTGCTACTGATGTCTGTCCATAATTTTTATTATATACTTTTTACTGTTATCCACCTAAAAAAAAACTTGTTACCACCTAAGAGATAAAGTGCTACATCTTTATTGCTTCAACAATCATTCTGCAGTCAAACAGTGTTAAATTCTGTTCCTGTCTTATCACTGCTAGAGTTACACTCTGCCTTTTTACCAATTATGTTATATATACAACAACTGGTTGATGGGGGAAATCATCTATTATTGTTGTTAATTTTTTGACACTTCAGTTTACAAATAAAATAAGTTTTGTATAATCTGTTCAGGTGAGCTCTTTGCTATGGTACCTAGACTTTATGAATTTAAGTGTAGTACTAAACTGGTGATGAGGCCTTATCAATTTACAATTGAGTTGGTTAGATGTAACTGTAAGTTCTACGTTAACAGTTTCTTTTCTCACACTCCTCGCTTGTGGAACTCTCTTCTGGTGCCATGATTTCCAGTCAACTTTAATCTTCAAAAATTTAAATGAAATGTTAATCGCTGTCTGCTGTCCTCCTGATTAGTCTTCTTTTGTTCTTGCTCCTTAGTAATGTTTCTGTTTTCTAATTCTTCGATTCCCAGTAACCCTTTGTGCCTCAGTGGCTTTACTGCCTTGCTTGGAGCAAATTCAATTAAAAAAAAATTTTTTTAAAATAAAAGATTTTAACCAAGTCAGTTTAATATTCACATGTGAATATGGCAGTCTGCCAAACCTTTTTTGGCATCAGACCATTTGGCAAGGAATGTTTTAATGCTTGGAAGAATTTTGATTTGGTAAATTGATTTTTGTTCTAAATTTTTTAAATTAAAATTTACTTTTTTTAAAAATTGTAATCTCATGATTTTCTCAACTTTGTCTAAATCTGAAAGTTGATGTTAAATAACATTCATATCTATCTCTAAAGTTTGGCAGGTTAGTTTGTTTAAAATAAAATTTTACTGTATTTATAGATTTAATCAAAGGAGCAAGAAACAACTAAAGCTCTAATATCCATTTTTTGTATGTTTCTTCATGTGGTCATGACTCTCCACAATTTTCTTTGAATTGCTATCTGTGAATTGTTGTAACTTCTTGAGAATGGTAGCAAAGCAGTTTCTCATTGTCTTCTCTACAGTTTTATATTCAAAGTTTTCCTTCTCTTAGAATGGTTGACACCCAAGGTATTCCAGTTTACCCTGCTATTTAACTCATAGCTGGAGGAGGAAAAGATGGTTTCATGAATTTCCCAAGGGCATTCATGTGAAAGTGAATGCCACCGACTTGGTTTGCCAATTCCACATTCCATGCTGATAACTGCTATACTGCCTGAACATTCTCATACTTAAGACACAATTTAAAAATATGAACTTTCTTTTCAATGTTTAACATTGTTTTAAAGTATAATAAATTAGAGATCACTGTTATGGTCATTTGAAGATGATAAATCACCACAGAGGTTAAAAATTATAGCAAAAGTGTCATGGTTTGATATTCAATAATGAAAAGAAAACTATTTTATTTTGTTAACAAAGGTTATCTCCCTTGGATTTTTATGGACAAAATACTTTTTTTTATTTTTACTGCTAATTAAAAAAGAGACAGAAAGAGAAAGAAACTTGTTAAAGTGATTAATTTCAGAAAAAAGTTATTAAAAAACGGATTGTGGACTGACTGGTTGATTTTTTGAGCCATAAAAAGATTTGTAAGATTTGTAAAAAGATTTGTAAAAATAAAAATAGAGCTAGTTGGGGAAGATTTGGTCAAGGAAATTAATGTTTTATTGCAACTTCAAACTGTGGTTTTTGAAGTCATTTTTTCTGTTGAATATTGAAAAAATGCAGAAGTTATTTTGTTTTCCATGTAAAATAAGAAAAACATGAGTTTCCACAATTTTTTTTTTTGAATGGAAGTTTTCTTAAGTTGGCATGACTTTTTTTTTAATCAGGCAATAATGCCACTAAGATGCAAAGGTCTACTGAGAGTGTAAGAGAATGAAAGAACTTTAGAAACTCAATCCTAAACAGAGAACAAGGGATAAACCTCTACTCCTGATCAAAAGACTTGTGTGGTTTGTAAACTGGATGATAGGATTTTATTTAAGTTAAAAAATTTTCAAAGAAAAAACAAAACTTGCTTGCCTCTCATGGCATTGCTTTATATTGTTTCTGTGAGAGCAATTAAAATAAGATAAATTAAATAAAACATGCATACTTGACTACCACAAACTTTCCCCACATACACATACATAATCCAACCAAATACAAAATTATTTTGCAACATATTGCTACATTACCATCCTACATACACCTACACACACAAAGCATTTCTTTACCTACACACACACACACACACACACACACACTTTAACATCCTAAATGTTCCCCACATATATTTTTATATTATCTATTGTATTTATACACGTGATGTGTATCTGATCAATGAGAACTACCCAAAATCATAACATTCCAGGACACTGTTTCTTGGCTTTTTAATTTCTATTCTCAATCTCTGACAAAGCCTTAATAAAGTTAGATTGAGATTCGTTTCTTAATTTATTCTCCATTTCATTTTATCCTCTTGTCAGATTACTATCCATATCTGATGTACATTTAATTTTCAACTTGTACATAAATATATAAAATACTGGAAGGATCTTTTTTTCTTTGTTCTTTTTTTTAATTATTTTAAAAGAGAACAAAAATTATGTTGACCATAAATGACTGAGGGAAAATTTCTACAAAGGAATTTAGGAGAGAAAATTTTTGCTGCTAGTGACCTTTCATAGAACCAAAAATGGACACTGCTCCTACCACTCATAACAACAAGGCAGATAAAAGAATACAATAAATGATTATGTTTACTATCTGAGAACCAAATAAATATCTTAGAGATTTAATGTTATTTTTAAATAAAGTGACATGATACTTTTAAAACATTTTTTTAAATGTCCAACCAACAGTTGGTTGACTGACTGATACTTAAATGTTAGTTCCAAAGTGGCTGAAAATTTTCTCATTCTGAAATAAAATGGTGGGACACATTGTCAGAGAATCAGTTAAGAAAAGGTATCAAGACACTGAAATTCCATTGGAAGAATAGATTTTGATTGTTTTTGTTTTAGCAACATATAAAAATTTATGGGTTATTTAATGCTGAAATTTAAATATTTTGTACACAATTGTATTTTATTTTGGGGGATAATAATAGTTTTATTAATTAATCCATAGATGGAGGGAGAAGAGAGTAAATTCATTCTTTTCATAAGGGTATTTGTGCGTTAGTGGATATAATTAACCCAACTGGAATTGGAACTCAGTATTCTGATTAAAAATTCTGAGCCATCATCCATTACACCACCTACAAATCCAAGCTTATAGAACCTGGTATTCCCAAGTGGTCACCAATCCAAGTACTGACCAGGTGTGATATTGCTTAACTTCAGTGATCATATAGGAACTGGTGTTTCAATATGATGTGGCCGTAAGCCTGGAAGAATAGAAGAAATTTATTAGAATGAAAAATAAATGATTTTTCTTCTATGTGCTGTATCTCTTCAGGACATGGGTGATCACGGCTCTCCACAATTTCCTATTTTAGTAAGGTTTTTCTTTTTGTTATCCTTCCCAATTCCTGTTGTACCAACCATTTATACAAACTTATCAGACAGGTTATTTGTTACTTCTCTTCTCTCTTTCTTGCCTTCAATATGTCCTGTTAGTGTCAAATTCTCCAAGCCCTCTTTTCAATTTATGTACCCTAGAAAATTCAACTATCACTTACTGATTCTACATTTAAGTATCATTTTTGTTTTCATTTTCTTTCTTCATGATATACTCAGCAGAAGGGAGATAACATCGGATCTGAAGTCAGAACATTATCATTGATAACTCTCTCCTCCAGTTTGCAAACCCTAGTTACTATATTCTTAATACTTGATATAATGCAAAAGTATTAAAAAATTGGCATAATCTATTAAACACAGGTATATATCCTTCTGCATTTGTATTACTTTTTCTGATATTATTCAGAGCATAAATATTGCATTTCTTGTTCTGGTGTCTGAAATGAAACTGTACTAATCTAATCATTTGGATAAGTTTTATTATGTGGCTCATTAGACTGACTGTCTGATGGAGCTTACATTCATTTATACCTGGCTTCTTATGCAGTGCTATGAATGAAGTGAATCTGCTAAAGTCTTCCAGTATATCACCACTGTTGTATATATCATTTATTATTTCTGTAATTTTACCATGACCAAAATGATCTATGGCTGCCAGCGTCTCTATTAGAATCCCATCTGTTCCTGTGGTTTTGTTCCACTTTCAACTTGACCAGTGCTGATTTCACTTTAGACTTTAATATTTCTAGCCCTTCTATATTTTGTGACTTTTTTTTTAAATTTTTTGCAGGTTTTTGTCTTTCATTGTAGAAGAGTTCTCTGATATATTCTTTCCATCTTTGAAGTATTTTTTCTTTCTTTATTATCAGCGTTCCATCTTTTGATTTTATTCATCCTGTCAATGAGGACATTTTTGGTCCTGTTATTTCTCTTAGTCTTTTATACATATCTGCCTTGTCTGTGTGGCACATTCTTTCAATTAATGTGAACTTTTCATTGAGCCATTCTGTTTTTGTCTCCTTGCATTTGTTTCTAATTTCTTTGTGTTATCTTATATAGATAGATTAATAAAATTAATTTTTTTTTAATATTAATTTAATCATTCTGGATTAAATCTTATCTTATTTGATTTGCTAAAATCTTTTCTGCTATAAGCCTTTTTTTGGAAGATTTCTTTCAGAGTTTCATGTTGTCAACGTTTTGTTTGTGTTTGTGTGTGTGTGTGTGTGTGTGTGTGTGTGTGTGTGTGTGTGTGTGTGTGTGTGTGTGTGTGTGTGTTGATTATTTATTTGTTTATTTAGAATTTTTGCCAGAATAACTGATGATTGGCTGCATTTATTTTGAATTATCAAGGCTGGGGGTGGGGGCTGTAGGGAAATGCTGTTATTTTCCAAATGTTCAGAAATATTTAATTTTTTTTCAGTGTCTCTCTCCCTCTCTCCCTCTCCCCCTCTCTCTCTTGCTCACACACACACACGCACAAAATGTTACTTAAATATTTTTATGTGTATTTCTGTATCATCTCAAGTGATTAATTTCTCCAAGTCCATCATCTTATGCCTTCATTTCTTAATAGATTTTTTCACACTCTCTCACCTTACCCCCACCCATCTCTGTTGAAACTAAAAAATAATCCATGTATGAATAAAACTATCTTTAAAAGAAGCTCTTTGTAATGCAACAGTTGCGATCAGCATGACTAATTAAATATAAGATAAAAAGAAAATAAAAAAGAAAACTGGGTTAGAAATGAACAAACAAATAAACATTAAACAAGCTTCAAGTGATGTTTAGTCTGAATGTCCAGTCATTAGTGATAATAATGACTAAAATCTTCATGTTCGCTCAACATGTGGCTTTATGTGATAATAAACTAAGATAGATATGTAAATAAAATTGAAGTCATGTCCTTTCAGGCAGTCATTACTCTCCACACATTTTCTTTAATGTCTTTGAATGTTTTCTTAAAAAAGATAGTGAAACGCTTTTCTGATGCCTTCTTCTCTATGGTTTTGAATTCAGAACAGAGTCCTTCTAAACTGACTGCCATCCAAAGCTAGAGAAGGTAACCTAACCTTTCCTCTTTCTCACTACCTCTCTCTCTTAAATGCTGATCATGACTCTCCACAGATTCCTTTTCTTTATTATCTGTGAATTGCCATAATTTCTTGGGAAATAGTGTAATGGATTCCTGATGCCTTTTCCCTGATTTGGAATTCAGATTAGTCAGATTCCTGACTGTCTACCATCCAAGGCTAGAGAAGCTAGCCTACCCTGCTACTTAACCCGTAGCTTGTGGAAGTGAAAAGGATTCATGGCAGCACTACTTAAATTAACTGATCTGCTTGTAATGTCAAAATCAATAAATATACTACAATGTCATGCAAAACATTTGGGCTAACTAAATAGATTAATTACTTTTGTTAATTTGACCCCCAAATTGAGAGTGATTAGCTGAATGCTTTTCTCAGCACATTTTATGATCTTTGAGGGCCAGAAATAAAGTTACTACATTCTTGCCAATGTTATATGGTGAATAACAGAGCATCTTAAACATAGTAATACTGAAAAAAGGTCATGCAAAAACACTGGGCCACCAGCGAAAAACTCACCTTTCAGCTTTCTTAAGTTAAAAAGGAATTTTATTTTTGCAAAAAGTGCTCCAAAGGTTGAACATCTTCATCCAGAAGAAACGTTTTTGTTGCATGTGATGTGTGACAAGGGGCAGCATCATACTGAAAGATTTCTCCATCTACGTAGTCTAGTACAAGATTAAACCATAATAAACTAATATAGTTTTCACTCTTTAGGTTTCAACTTTTACTAATTTTCATCTACCATAATTATGCATTCACCACCAAATTTTACCATTTTTGTGGTGTATCTCACGTTGTTCTTTTTCCCACTGATCATATTCTCTTGCATTAAAATGTAAGTATGTGGTGTGGGAGTATGCTGGTTGTATTTTAGGTTGGAAGACACATGTCTCCTGGTATATTTATCCCACAACAAAAATGGCAGATTAGAATATTAATCCAGGTAATAAATGACAAAGTAACAACAAAAATATATATATATATATATATATATATATATATATATATATATATATAAAAACAAATGATAATTATGTATTAACAAAACAAGTGTATACATAGACAATCGAATATTGTTGCATGTTACAAAACAATGAACATGAATGAAGAAAACATTTAAACTAGTGAATTGTGAATTGTTTGTGTGTTTGTAGTTTCGTGTTGGAGAAAGTCCGAGCGAAAATGAAGTGAAAGGTTCATGCGTGTGTGCGTACGCATGTGCATTTCCCACTGGGAAAGTGACTTCCTAGCTCAACCTACATTTTACCGTCCTTGAGTGAAAAACGAAAAAGAGGATGACAATGTCACTTCCTATTCATAGGCATAGGGAGCGTCTCCTAGCGACGTTTTTTTTAGGAAAATAAGTGGGGTAACTCCACATATGTTGCATTCATCAATAAAAATTACTTTTTACCACTTTCCAGCATCCAATGTTAGATGTTCTTCTGACCACTTCAATCTGCGATTCCAATGTTTTTGATTAATGATGTTTATTTCTGCTATATGCCCGTTCAAGTTGTTGTTTTTTAATAATACTCTGTGTAATGTATCAAATTAAAAATAACTGTTTCAACTGCATTCACTCCCCACTTTGGCTGTTAATTTTGAATTCCTTATCGAGATTCTTACAATGTTTCTTTCATCTCATTTGTTTAGCTTTTGTGATCTTCCTGTTTTCTTTGCACTTAAAACGTCTCTAGTACTAGCAAACTTGTTGTTTGAACATTGTTTCTGGAAATTCCAAAACACCATCTTGTTGTGTCATTTTTTGTAGAAGGTTATTTTGACTAAAGTGTTTGTCGACAAAAGATTTACCCTCTACATGAAAATTTCAATAGAAAAACTCTAAAAATTAGTTATTCCTGTACCAAAAACATAAACAGCCAAACACTAAAAGCATTTTATTATGGCAAAACAACAGAAAATAAGCCCTTTTGTAACTGTAGAATCGAGACCAACTGCCTGGTAGGAGGTATCTGTAATTCGGAAAATGTGGTATACCAAGCTACCATTTTCCCGAAAGAAAACATCAATGACAAAATAAATAAATAAATAAATAAATAAATAAAAAGCATACACACATAGGGATATCCGCTGGGAATTGGAATTCTACAGTCACCAACATTCCTTCTCTAAGACACCAAACTGCGCTGTCTAAGCATTATTGGAAAAATTAAAGATAGAGGCTTCACCACACAAATTAAATGGGACAGCATCTGTCGGTCTCAAACCCTCAACAACTTTCAGGACAGATTCTGTCTGTACATACAGAAGAAATTTCCAATAATCAAATACAGAAATGCTAAGCAGTTTTTGAATCAAAGAAACGAACTGATTTTCAAATGTAGACATAAGAACAAATTTAAAATTCCCTAAAAACGTTTGTTTTTGGGGATACACACTTGAAGTGTTGATTCCTTTATATGGGCGCTAACACATATAAGTGTACATGTATTCATATGTGTATATATATATATATATATATATATATATATATATATATATATTTATATATATGTATGCGCGTGTGTGTGTTTATTGTGTATCACGTGGTTTGTTTTTATGTACTTTATATACAACATAAAAATTAAAATTCTAACGTAACATCTTCACTATTATTATCCATACATCATCTTACTCAGTTGTTTTTATTTTTATTGTTTATTATTCTTTATTTTAAATCCCTTCATTTATGTTTGATATTGTTATCATTATTATATTTATTTATTTTATTATTAAGGGCCCCTTCTTTAGACTAACTAATTT